AGAGCGGGGGCGCAGGCACCCCGGCGCGCGCACAGCACAGCCCGGGCTGTCGCGGCACGCGGGCCCCAGGGCTGACGCTCGCTCCTTTCCCTCTCGCTCAGGATGAACGTGCCCCCTTGCTTCCCACGCACCTTCTCTCCTTCCGTTCCTTCCCATCCACCTCCCTCCCAGAGCCAGAGGTTTTAACTCAAAATCCCTTTCCCGCATAAGCTCATGTACTGTATTGGGTGGGCATGCAGGAAAGTACAGTGGAAGAGGCAGGGGACTTTCTTTCTGAACAGTTGTTGTTTTGGAAGTAAAGCGGAGAAAAGTTTTGAACAAATCATTTGGCAAACAAACGGAGAGAGAGCAGCCACAGTAGCTTTGAATTCCTGCCAAATTCATCAAACAGTTTCAAGTGCCTCTGAAAGGATTTACAGTTTGGCAAGGGAGAAATAAATACTTTATAAACAAGTGGAATTTTTTATTTGTAGTTTCAGAACATCTTTTAGAATCAACCATGTTTAATTTTTAAACCCGACAGGTATTTAAACAAATATAAAACTTTACGATTAACAGAAAATTACCTTTTCCAGCTCTGTTTCACTCAGAATAACGGTGTGAAAAGTATCTCAGTATTTCACATTTGCTTCAGTGAACTAAGAGATCTTTGATTCACACAGTTCAGAGAAACCGGACAGTTTCCAAATCTGACACTACGCATTTTCTTATCCAGCACTATAGATCCAAGGTCATCTCTTTTATAAACCCACTGAAAACAACGAAGTTACATCAGGCATATATTCAGCGAGAATTTTATGCCTGGTGTAAGACCGCTGTCTTCAGTGACAGTGAAGGCTCACTGACCATTTACACTGCAGCATTGTATTTACATACCAAACAGGCCAAGGCCCCATGACTTGTCACTGCGTTAGTAGAGAAAGTGATTTACGACTGTTCCCCCCCCAGAATAAAGAACAGTTGTGTGTGAGGTTGATGTTAGTAAGCTAATAACTAGGTATGTCTCCATAAACTTAATTTAATAGTTGTACATAAAATCACTTGCAGACTTGCACTGGCGATGTTGGAAGTATTCATAAAATACAAAAAACACCCAGCACCAGTGGTTATAGTTCAATGGCATTTTCTTCTGCGCTGGAACCTCACGTGCAAAATTTTCTATACTTCCATACCGTATTTCTCTAATTTATGTACAAACAAACTCCTATCTCATTTGCTAGAACTTGGAAAATCTTCGAGGATTACCGTCTTGTTGGCCCAGCTGCATTCAATTACAGAGAACAAAAATGGGATGTGCTAAACCCAAGCAGTCCTTAAAGGAGCTCTGATCCTTGAATGGGCTCGTGTGAAAAGATCTATATGTGCATATATTTATCACAACATCAAAATTACAGTTACAGATGGTCATCATAGCTTCGTTAGCCAAAGTCAGTATCATATTGCCTCTTTCTAACACACAGTGTTGGTTAGAAGGGAGCTCTGAAGGTCACTAGTCCACCCTCGCACTCAAAGCAGAACCATTGCCAACGCCAGCCCAGGCGCTCACCTAGGTAGCAGCTCGACTAGCATCGAGGTCTTGAACACGTTAAAGGATGGGGGCTTCGTAACATCTCTAGGCAGCCGTGCTGTTCCCACGCTGCAACACCCTCTTAGTGAAGAATTTTTTCCTCATGTCTAGCCCTGCACTCCCAAACTGTAATTTGTGGCTGTTGCCCTTTGTTATATCCAAGAACAGTCTGGCTCTATCTTCTTCATAATTTACCTTCAACCTGGCTGGTATTGAAACATCACTTCACCACCTCTTCACAAGACTAGCCCAAGTTCAGCTCTCTGAACCTCAGGACATACTGCTGGACATACTTCTCCTGATGTTGCCCAGCATGTGGTTTGCTTTATTTTTGAAAAGCGTTCACTGCTCACTCACATTCAGTTTGTGTTCGCTGTAACCCCCAGGTTCCTTTCAGCACGATTGCTTATCAGCCAGTCTATTCCCAGCCTGTACCAATGCATGCGGTTTTCTGCCTCACATGCAGAGGCAGATGTATTTCTCCTTGTTGAACTTCACAAGGTTTTTGTGGTCTCATTATTTAAGTTTCTCAAGGCCTCTGCAAACTGAAGCTCTACTGTCCAGTATGTCAACCCCCTTTCTAGTTTAGTATTGTCTGCAAAGTAGTGTGCTAGCCAATATCAGCAAAAAAAATTAATTCAGTATACACAGGAGCTGTCTTGACAAATAACCACACTGATTTATGTTACATCATGGGAATCTGGGAAAATGACTCCATAGTAAAAGAAAACTCCACATGAATACGGAAATATAATATAATGCCAACCAAAAGTCAAATTCTCTGCACTTTCAATTCCCTAACGCAATAAATATCTTTCTCCCCATTCAGAGCGCCCATTAAAAAGCCAATAGCACAAACTGCCCTCAGAGTCTATCCAGAGCCCACAGAGTACAATGAACATCAGCTAAAAAGAGCACAGCCCCTAGTCTGCCTTAACTAAGGATTCAAAGTGGTCTAAAAGCTCAACTTTAGTTTTACTAATTTTCTTTCCTGACCCATTTCTGCAAATAATGTGAAAAATTTGGGACCAATGAAAGGCAGTGGGAAAGCTCAACTGACTTCTGTGGAATTGTGATTCATCCAATACATTCGATCATATCAGCTGCAATTGCAGTTCCTTCAGAGGCATAAATTTCAGCATTGATGTAAGACTTTGGAGGAAGCTAAACCACATTTTACTTGCCTAGTCAAGTTTTCATGTCTATTGTTCGAAGATTTGTTGCTAAGCCATTTCAATTCCAAGGCCTAGCCAATTACAGCTAATTCATCAGCTCAGGCCGGATCCTGCACACAGTGATGACAACAAAAACATTTGGCATTAAATTAGCGTTTGCAAAATGTTTCAGGGCATCTAAACACAAAAGTTTCATAAGCCAAGTAGTGGTAAATTTGAAAATAAAATATGCTTTCTTTTTCATGATTAGTAGCTAGAGTTAGCTAGTTACTTTTGATTTTTTGCAGTCTCACAGTGAAAATTCAATATGAAATTCAACTGTATTGCAATGGCATCCTTCTAATTTTAAGATTAATGTCATGTGGGAACAACTCTGCTGATCAAAACGATGCTTTCTACATTCATCAGCTCACCATCAGCCAAAACTTTACAGTGCATATTGAAGAAAGCTATTATTGAAATTTACATTAAATTCCTATGGTATATACAGCATGGAAACAGTATTATAACGTTTCCCATTTGTTTTATTATGGCAAATAAAAATTAGACAATTCAAGATGAGAGGAAAGCAGCCTAAAATGTTTCACTGAGTGAGACTTTCACAATAAGTTCCACTTCATATTACAACTGTTTCAGTGGAGATCTGTATGTGTTTACATGTACACATCACAAGTAATCCACTAGTATGAAAGTCTTTATAGAGCTTGTATCTAGAGCATGAAGAAACTTATTTTTAAGGCATATTTTAGATTTCTAAAAATTACAGACCTGATAGTTGTGTTATTGCTACCCTTTCTTCAAACTTCTCATGAAGTGAGAGACAGTGCAAAAATGTATTTTGATTAGATTCTCATCAAAATCACTAATAAAGGTAACAGCAGAAGTGCCTTCATCTAAATGTCTAACAGCCTTTTAGAAATTTTGGTGTAGTAAACTTATGAACAAGACACGGTATGTTAGGGTACAGGGAGAGACAGCTGTGTGGACAGACTTCCCAAGGTTATGGAAAGAACCTTTGTCAATGCCACCATCAGAAGTTAGATGGTCTCATTACCGTGTAGAGATTACTGGCTTTTCTGTCCTTCTTTTTAATATCTCACTTCTTCTATAGAGAAGAAATAGCAGTCTGGCACAATTATTCACTTGTCAGCTCTGTTTTGCCTCATTTCTGGCTTAAGACGCAGTTTATCAGTGGCACCATTTAAATCAGATACTCTGAGGCGCAGCAGCCCTATGGATTTGTAACCACCAGCTATGCCCTGCCCCTAGCACTGCT